GGTGGTATCAATATCTGGATTTTTGATGATAGTGCCCTTCTGCACAGTCTAATTTTGTATTAACTCCGGGAAAAGGGTTACCATATCATAACCTTTCATCTGTGAAAAATTCAGCTATGTGACAAAAGAGTGGGAGGTGAATCGTTCTCTTGAGCGAATATTTTAATATATACACTTTACTAACAATGACAACAGCGGATATTATACCCACAATATATTGTGATTATACCCTACTGTGTCCCTTAGAATATGTCTTATTCACGGCCGCACGATATTTGTTAATAGTTACATCTCCTGGTTATCTCTGGAGTTAGCCCACTGTGCGCCGGCGGTGCTTGCATTTGTTGAAAAGAAAACCGTCTTCCGGCGGCATGGTATTCTCACATATAAGAAAGCCGCCGAAAATCTAAACTGATTTGTTGATCAGGGCGGCATGCTATCAGTGAATTAAAAAATGCCGACGGACGACGGTCTACTGTATTTAAAACATTGAATGCCGGTAGTAAGAAAAAATACTTGTAAAATCGTCTACATTTTTATGGCAAATAATCATATGTCGTACGCGTTTTATTTGTACATCGGTCTTCTTTTGACAGAGTAGATGAGCTGTGTCCAGGCCGTTGGTGTTTATGGTGGCGGCGAAGCCACCACCTTACGAGAAGTCGTTGCTTCGTCTTCTTGTTGTCACGGCATTATTATTATTATTTGTTCATGTATGTGAAATTTGCTTCTAAAGCCTCGCATCCACTTGCAAGTAACTTGCGAAAGTTTTTTCACCAAGTATTTGCCGGCGTGTCTACACTGTAGTCTAATTGTTTTGAAATTTATTGCGGCAACGTACTGTAGCAAGTTAGTTTGTTTCAATAACGTGTACACGTACACACACTTAGAAAAATGTCGTCTCAGCAAGTGGCTGCTGTGGTTGTGACATATATTCAGTTAGAAAAACAAATAAAGAAAAAGAAAAATGACAAAAAACGTAGAAAAATTTGGGTCAGAAAATGGATTCAGCGGAGATTTACTTTAGGTATACATGAATAGCTGCTCTCTGAATTGAGAAGGGAAGATCCACAGCAATTAAAAAAATTTCTACGAATGTCTGCGGAAGATTTTGATTTTTTGCTGAATTTGATGAAAGACAAAATATGTAAAAAAGATACCAAAAAAATAAAATAAACATTTAAAATAGTTTCACAAAATTTCACTAGTTGCTGCAAATATTTCGAAAGAGTCTTGAAATAAAAAAGTGCAAACTAATTTGCTTAGATTAGCCGTGTACACTACAAGCTCTAAGAAGTCGGCAAGTACTTGGCCCGAGAGTAAACTTTCAGCAAAATTTCTCAAGAGCTGCTGTTTACACGCATTACAAGTGACTTGTGAGAGTACTCTAGGCAAATTTAATTGTTAGTGGATACGAGGCTTAAGGTTAATAAAATACTACTGCTAGTTACGGCTTAAATGAAAACAAACAAGACGCATTCACACAAATACCTCCTACCACAACAATTACAAATGATTGGTGTTGTCCCCGATATGCGAGTTTTTTCCGGCGGCATTTTATGTTTCAAATACAGTAGACCGTCGTCCGGCGGCCTTATGAATACTATGATAGCCTGCCGCCCTCATCAACAAATCAGTTTAGATTTTCGATAGCTTTCTTATATGTGAGAAGACCATGTCGCCAGAAGAGGGTTTTCGTTTTATTAAATTCAACTACCGCCGGCGGTCGGCTAGCCAGTACGATAAAAAAACGTACTAGATTTAAAGTCTTTTATTTAAACTTTTTAAAAAATCCGCATGTATGATAACAGCCCATAAGATGAAACTGCAAGAAACTTATGGGTCAAAATTACTTTTTTAAACAACAAAAAAACAATACAATAATTGCCAGCTTACCTAAATCACTACACCATATTATCTACAGCGCGTTCTTGTTTCGAAGTATGTAACCGATGGTTTTTTTATAAATTCATCAAAAATAAGACACTCTATACATACATGTTAGTGATACTCCCCTTGTACCCTAACATTATTGACCACGTGGCACTGTCAATTGTCAACACTCTTGGCAAGTCAGGACGGACGAACGGAGAGCAGCGGAGGAAAGTAGTAGTCGGAGTCTTAGCTCGACCGCATAGCCATGCAAAAAACATAGATTAGTGTAATACTAATAAATAAACAGTTTTGGTGGTTTAATGACTTTTATTGGGGTTAATTATCCCTTACCTTAACATACATATTCGCTCAGTGCGAAGTCATGGCAGGGGAAGCAAAAGCGATACTAGCGCTAGCTGCAGATAATTCATGCATTTTAGGGCGATATTTTGTAGCATATCAAATACATGTATACATTTTACTTTTTTTTTCAAAAAAGTGGGTAAAAACAATACAATAAGCAACCGGAATTGCTGTGTTGAAAATTGTAAGAAACAGTGTAAAATTTTCAGTAGCAAAGTGGAAATTAAATCAAAGAAATAAATGGATATGTGTACAAAAAGAAGTAAAATAATCTTTATTTTCGTAATAATAACAGTAATACTGAAAATAGTAGAGATCAGAAACTTGAATGGTTTTAAATTAACAATAAATATCATTTCACGATGTTCTTCAACATCCCTTTAATCTTAAATATTCATGCAGTAAGAACTAGATTTCTGCCTTTGATTAATGTGGATGGAATGCAATTTTGGGACTTACTGATAGAAAACTTGTTTTAATCATTCATTCTATGTTATCTTTCGAAAAAAATTAAAAATATAAATAAAAATCCGTTTATACATTTTAACTTCACGCTAATTGTGTGTGTGTGTGTGTGTGTGTGAGAGAGAGAATGGCATTAGACTAAGTCTGTTTGCCACAAAATGAGGAATATATATATATATACAAAAACTTTATTAAAATGATTTTTAAAAACAAATTATATTAGTAGGTTAATTGATGATAGGAACTTAGTGAGATATGTATAAATTGATTTATTTTCAAGAGCAAGTAGGTACGTAATATTATAGGGCGGGAATATATTTATATTAATGAGCATTTTATACAATTGGATAATTGAATTATAATTGTTTGAACAATTGAAAAAAATATGATTAAGATCTGCAGTGGAGGAACTATTACATGTACATATAGGGGAATCCAGTAGGCCAATTTTAAAAAGATGGGCAGGGAAGCGCCCATGGTTAAATTTCAACCTTGTAATGTTCCCAGACTGGAATTTATTTAATCCAAATATATCAATATGAGGAATTACCCTAGGCAATTCTTTATGGATAGTAAAATAGTGATTATTAGAGTTGAAGCTGTATTGTTTGTAATTTGCTTCCCAGTTTTTTCTTATTTTTTTTTATATGTATTTACTAAATCTAGATAAACTGGCACCTGCGTCAACGATTCCTTATCGCATGCCTTTTTCGCTTCTAAATCTACACATTCATTGCCGACTATACCAGCATGGCCTTTTGCCCATATAAAAGTTATATCTTTATTTGAAGCTTTCAGGGTGTAAAGTCTGTTTTTTATGAGATTTAAGAGCGAATTTTGGTAATATTTATATGCAATAGTAGAAATTACCTGTAAACAGGATTTAGAGTCAGTGATAATCGCTACTTTCGTTACTGGATTTAATTCGCACCAGTATAATGCTCGTTCTATTGCAAAACATTCTGCTGTAAATATAGAGCAAAAATCCGGAAGACGATGATGTTCGACGTAATTCGACGAAGGAACGAAAAAAGCACATCCTGTACTTCCTTGCCTTCTTGATCCATCTGTAAATATTTTAGTTAACCTACCACCTAATCTATTAAAAATTGAATTTAATATAGTATTGTTTTCACGCTAATTATTTATAGATTTTTTTTTTTTTATTTTGACAGAATAGGTTAATTCTTCAAAGACAACTTATTAGACTTAGGCAACTTCTTATACATTTTCTCGTAAATACTGTTGCATATTTTTATTAATTTTTATTGAATATACTTTTTTTTAGTTTAAGCGATAAAAATATATAATAATAATAAATTAATGTTCCACTTGTTTTACAAATCCATATGCTTTTATTAAAATTCCTATATATACTTTTTAATTACGAATTCTATTAAAAATTGTATTGTCAGTATAGGCAAAAATAGTCCATTAGTACAAAATATATTGGCGCTGCTGTCACGTACGGAGCAAATTGAGTTACTACGATTGTAAGCATATAATTTTTCCACATAATTATTATATTTTTTGCTGACTATTACATAAGTCATCTCAATTTTCTGCTCTTCAAACGATAGATCAAAGCATTTTTGACTGGTAAAAGCATATGATCCTATTTTCAATTGTATATATATATATATATGTCCTTCTAGTTTATTATTAGTTGCACAAACTAACTCATTTCCAGAGCACATTTATGCAAATAATATGTGATTTTTAGTATAGGAAACCTCTTGCTAGTTGTGAATATTTTGTTATGTCTATTCTTTAACGAAATAGGGGAAAACTCCAAATTGGAGAAGAGACACATATTATTATCCAAAACTTTGAGTTTGAATACTTAATATTGTTGCGCAAAATAAATTAAAAATCGTCACGAAAACGGAATTTCAAGAAAAAAACCTGCTTTCATTGCGATCCAAAACAAAAGTCTGTTAAAAAGCGCAATAAAAAGACGACAAACAACAGCGTTCTAGGGTAAGTTATTAATTTTTTCTTTTTCCCTTTAGTCAAATTCAAATTTGCTTTTACCGCGATACCGCTATTTACCGACCAACTTCGCAAAATTTCGAGCATTTCCGAGATTTCAAATAAACATCATGATGAATAATGAATAAATATGATAAAATAAAACAAAAAATAATAAAAATAATTTATTATAAAAACTAATGTATGGTTGAAGCATAATTAACAATAAATATCGATTTTCAAATTGACAAAAACGTCCAATTAAAAATAAATCATAATTTTTTTTTAATAGAAATAATAATGCTGCAAAAAGTACCATTATTTTTTACAATATTCAAAACAATTGCAAAAAACCGTATTTTTAAAAAGTTTGCAGCCATACAGACAAGTATGCATACTTTGTGAACGTAATAATTTATTATTTTGAATTAACATCTTACTTTTTTATTTATAATGCCTTTGATTTGTATTACGTGGCTTAAAAATTTTATAACTTTTTAATTTTTCTTGAATTTCCATAATACTTTTACCTCTTGTTTCCGGTAGCAAGACATATAAGATGACAGTTCCAACGAAACCAAATGAGCTAAAAAACCAGAAGTTCCAATGAATTCCAACATATTCGATCAAAAGAGGAAATCCAGAGGTCACGAAGAAAAAAACGACTCCCATCACGGTTATTAAAATCGACACAGCTATAGATCTAAACTCTGACGTAAAGAGTTCGCTGGTTATTGTATGTGGAAGAGGACCCAGCCCGGTAGAATAAAAAACAAAATAAGCAATAACTGATATAACGGGTAGCAGCTTGATAGATGGTATAATTGGCGAGTTGATATATTTAAAGTAAAAAAACAAACCGATAAATAATTGCGATAATGAACACCCTAATGTAGAAAAGAACAAAAGAGTTCTTCTACCAAATTTCTCAACAACCATTGTAGTACAAAATACACTGCAAATGTTTATTATACCTATAATAATGGCCACCAGGTCTCCCGATAAGCCAATATCAGCAATATTAAATATGGGCCCTAAAAAAGCCAGCATTATCGGTGTTCCAATACCTACATGTACTATTGAAGGGATTAATGCCAACCCTAACCCCACTCGAGACTGTCTTGTTTTAAACAGTGACCAAACCGTAGCATTTTTAACGGAGTGCCTTTGTTTTAAACTGAATTCTATTTCGTCAAAATCCAATTGTATTTCTTTGCGATTTTTGTTAGATCTAAGTTTTCGTAGGGCTTGTAAACAGTCTTCAAATCGTCCTTTAGATAATAAATATACAGGAGTCTCAACGGTAAAAAATAAGAATACAACCAAAATAATTAAAGGTATACCTGTGACTAATGTGAAGGTCCTAACACTGAACACTGAACCGAAAAAATAACTATATAGGCTTCCTATTGGAGGAAACAAAAATATAAAACATCCGAATTTTCCTCTGTTATGATTTTCGCACATTTCCATGATAAAAATAATTAAAATAGCACAACTACCGTTATAAAGCGACATTAAAATACATCTTCCAATTATTATATAAATTATACGATTGCTGAAAGCGATGACAATATCGCATAAAACCATAAACATAGCAAACAATTGTAGCATATTTTTCCTGCCGAAAATATCTGACATCAACGGAACTAGAAGGGTTCCAGAAAGGCTTACCAAAGCCGGTAAACCCATCATCATAGATATTTGAAGTGTGGTCGCTGGTTCTGCAAGTGGATTAATATTTGTATCATTTGATTGCAATTTTGGTATTACTGGTGATGTCCATGCAAGCGATGAAGAGCCACCCATAACAACTAAATTGGCTGAAAAATAAAAAATAGAATAACGTAACCTATATAAGAAAACTATTTTTCCTACGACCACTTAGGAAAGTTACACATATCACACTATATAGTCCTATGGAAAGTGCCCTATATCATACGCGTATGAATAAGAATTTACTTTCCACCCGAGTGAGAATATGTTACTTTCCGCAGTAGTTGTCACAAAATGTCAAACACCTAATTTCTATTTTGATCTATGTAATGTCCATATTAATACTAAAATCGATATGATTGTTAAATTATTGAAATCGTTGTAAATTAGATCCTAGATATTTATCTTTAACAATTATTATTAAAATAATTTTAAAATAATGTTTGCTCTTTATTCTGGTTAAATACATAACCGATTAGATCATTCAATTGACACAAGGGTTATTAGCTCAGGTGGTTAGGACGTCGAACTTATCAACTTTGCCATTTTTCGACCGCGTTCGAATCCTGGCAGGGCAGTATTTTTTTTTTTTTTTTTGTTTTTTTTTTGTTTTTTTTTTATTTTTTTTTTAGTTTTTTGTTTGTTTAGAAAGTATGAAAATTGAATAAATACGATTATTGTTGATTATTTTTTTAAATACATTTTAATTATTATAGTAATAATAACCTTGGTTTTACATTTTTTTGATGACATTATTTTGTGGTCGTAGGAAAAATATTGTGCATCACTTGTGTGAAAAGTGATTTTCCACACTCGTGTGATAGTCGCACTCGGCTTGCGCCTCGTGCGACAATATTTCCCACTCGTGTGAAAAATGTCACTTTTCACACTCGTAATGTAATATACTATTTTTAATATTGAAATAATTTTGTAAGAGTAGCAAAAATATTGTACATCACTTGTGTAAAAAATTTTTAGTACCTATTTTGTACTAATTTGTACCACCAATAAAAATTTTGTACCATGTGCCGTTTTCAAAAAAAACGTGGCGCTGCTAGGTTAATATTAAGCTAGCAGGACCACATTAAAAAAATAAAATAAAAAATAAAACAAAGGTAGAATTAAAACGAACTGAATTTGTACCAATTTGTACCACCAATCAATTTTTTGTACTATATACGGTTTATAAAAAAACACATGGTGCTTCTAGTTTAATATTAAGCTAGCAGGACCACATTAAAAAATAAAATAAAAAATTAAACAACAGTAGAACTAAAAAAAAAAAATAAATTTGTACCAATTTGTACCACCAATAAATTTTTCGTACTATGTACCGTTTACAAAAAAAAACACAAGGTGCTTCTAGTTCAATATTAGGCTAGCAGGACCACATTGAAAAATACAAAGGTACAATTAAAAAGGACTGGTTTTGTAACAATATGTACCATTAAAAAAAACTTATTTTTTTAATCAAACTGCCTGAAACAACTTTCAAATTAATCCAAATCTGTTATAATTAAAAATAAAGAGACTTTTTGCAGAAAAAGAATCTATTGCTATTTTTGCATAAAACACAACATAATCTGTAATAATCGGAAAGCGGAATATTATGATTATTCCCATCACTAGTTCCCCACTACATATTCTCAAACTGTAGGGAGTACGCGTACGCAAAAGAGGCAGTGGCAATACAACACATAGATAAATTAATATTACCATGTTAAAAAAAATAAAACAAATTATTAAAAAAATAAAAAAAAATTGTTAAAAAATGGTTAAAAAAAAATGTTAAAAAGAAAACTACCTACTCACTAACTAAACAGGAATTACGTATATTACCTTTCTTCCATATATACTTTTTTCTGTTTTCTCTGTTAGTTTAAGTTGTCTATCTAGAATTTTTATTTTGTTTCAAATTAGGGCTTAAGAATAAAATATTAAAAATGTTAAAAATTGCTCCTTAACGTAAACACAAAACTCACGCACAACTCTCTCCTTGAGATTTCAGTGGGTGCTCAGTTTATATTTCGCAACTATTTAAATTTATTATTGTAAATGTGTTCTCATATTTATATTTTTTTGTGGAAAATAAATTATTATTAATATTATTATTATAAATTATTATTAAAAGACAAACCGTTTAAATGCACGGCACTGGTAACAAGTGGTAGTTCCCGGCCATACTACTTGGAGCCACCGTCGCAAATAAAACGACAGCGATGTTGTCAGTTTCCATAACTGAGATTAGAGTTATTTCAAACGCATAAGCTGCACCTTATCTGTGACCTTATTTTGTTTTTGTCGTGCTCGATACCATCCATACAATGGCCATACTATTGCTGAGATATTTTAAAGAGAGTTTGGCAACTGTGTTGATAACCTCGTTAAAAATGAAGAACGGAATGGAGGAAGGCGAAATGGTCGAAAAATGCACAAATCCATCATAAAATAAAAGTTATTATGATGTTGTGGATATAAATTATCCTTCGATAGTAAGTAATTATTAGGTCAAGAAGATTGATAAGTGCTGATTTGATGAAATTAGTAAGTATTAACAATATAATTTAATAAGGTGTTAGATTTGTTTAAGGACTTTGTTTATCATTGTTTTCTTATAGCCTTAACGAAGTTTAATTTAATTTTGGATCGATTTTCAATTCTTTTTAATCGACTTCAAAAAAGGAGGAGGTTATCAATTCGTCGCGATATTTTTTTTTATGTATGTTCAGAGATAATTCTTTAACACGGTGTCCGATTTCAATGATTTTTTTTTGCTAGAAATGGGGGTACTTCAGGGGTGGTCCCATATAAATTTGGTCCAAATCTAATAATTGGGTCCATGAGAAATTCCTCAAACTCTTCATTTTTCATGTATGTTTAGCGATAATGCTTTACCACCTTGTCCTATTTACATGATTCTTTTTTTGTTAGTGAGGCGGTACCTCAGGGGTGGCCACATATAAATTTGGATAAGATGTGGTGACGGCATGTTTTTGAAGTCGGTTTTTTTTAATTTTTAATTTAGATCACTTGTTTAATATACCTATTTGTAACAAAACATGTCTGGCCCTGGTAAAATTAAGTAAACTTTTTCAGCCCCTTAATTTAAATAAATATTTTTCTAATATTCAGCAGGCTGGTTATTCAAATAAAACCTTTTTTTCATTTTCCTTCCGATATTAAAATTCGCGAAAACTGTTTCAAGAATTTACATTTTATCTTTAGATAATAAAATTCGTTATCTTTGTGAAGATAATTTTTTGACAGATTCTTTTAGTAAAATTGCTTCAAAACATAAACGACTAATTGCAAATTCTGTACCAATTTTATTAGCTAATAGTACATCCAGTTCAACTACACTCAACCCAAACAATCAGATTTTAAAAAATGTTGAGGTTGAAGCACATACACAGTAGCATAAGATAGATTTGCTAATCTGCAACGAAAACAAGAAATTATTTGCAAACGTAAACTTAGTATTAGTGATAAGCAATTTAAACAACCCTCTGTTAAAAATAAAAAGTAATTTTTAAACTCAAATTTGTTAGATCAACTAGAACAAATTAGTTAAAATATAATTTAAATCGACTATTGCACTATGAGAAATATACTGAAGTTTTTTTTCTATGAACTAATTTTAGACAATTTAAAAATAACTTTTTATAAGAAAGGGCAACATTTTATTAAGACAAATTGTTCAATAAGATGTAAGTATGTACATTTTTTTGTTTTTATAGGAAACCCCTGACACCTGCATCAAAATTTGGTCCAGTTTTACAAGAATGAGAGGAGAATACTATTAATTTCACTTACAGTTGTTATTTGTACATGTTATGTGTGTAATAAATGTTTAAATGCACCTTACTTTTATTAAATGATTAAACTATACCTATGTACCTGTTGTTTTAAATATTTTAATATATTTTTAATTTATATTTTTTGGAGTTGTATTACTTAAAAAACTAATATTTATGTTAAATACAGTATTTTGATGTAAATATTAGTTTTTTTAAGGTAATGAATGCCAAAAAATGTAAATAAATAATAAAGGACATTTGAATGAGCCGCGTTTAGGCTTAACACTCTTCTTTTTAATTTTCTTGTCTTATGTTGACTATAACTGTTAAGTTAATCAGCCAAATGTGTAGCGTGCGATGGTGGCTTTAAGTAGTATGGCCGGGAACTACCACTTGTTACTATTGCCGTGCATTTAAACGGTTTATCTTTCAATATTAATTTATCTATGATACAACATCAACCTTTTATTTGAGAATACTTGATGCATGAATGAAACCATTTAAAAAGCAGTATAGATCCTTTAATTAGGAATAATACATGTTAAGAGATATGTGTAGACTAAATCTTGACAAAATATGAATTTGATAGTATGTCTAGTTTTGGTGTTATTTTAGAATATTGACAGACGTTTCGTTTTCCAAGTTTTTTTGATATTTTTAATTTTTCTCTTACTCTTTTATGGCTTGCTATGAACTGACAGTTAAGATATATCATCTTGATATTATGTCTAGTTATTTATTAATTGTAAATAGTTTTTTCCGCGCGGTGCATTTTTAAATAATTTTTAGAATATTTTTGGTTGTTTTTCTTTCTCATTGATGGCTTGCGATACATTAACAGTAACTTTATTAGTGAGGCTCTATGTTTAATTGTGTCAAAACATCAACCTGATAGTATCTCTAGTTTTGGAGTTATTTTAGATTGTTTGTTGACCGCAAAATATAAATATCTTGAAATTACTAATTTTCTCATTTCGTTTAAATACAAATTTTCTTATATCTGATTTTATATCTATTTTAAAGTTTATATTTTTTTAAAATTTTCTTCATTCTCTTTTTTATTTAATAATTACCGCAATATTAATTTAATAAATTTTATTAAGCTGGGACCGACGCAGCTGTTCATTCGGGTACCCTCGGCATTTTGGCTACTAGGTTTGGTCTGCTAAGTTCACACCAGTATTTTAAGAGAAGTAAAATGAAAAATAACTCAATAACATCTACTTACCGGATATTATTGTAAAATACAGAAATAAGGTGTCAGGTTTCTTGTCAGCAATTTGAGGCTGAAATTCTCCTCCTTTGGTAGGGAAATATTTAACTTCTTGTAGTTCAGGAGAACTATTTTGTTTTTTCATCTCGATCATAACGAATTTCAACAGTTTACGTTGTGGTATAGGTTGGTGCTTTCGACTGAATGAACAAATCAAATTATTGTAACATTATGATTTGTTAACACTTTTTTTTATATAATATAAAATAGTTTTTAGGAAATGATATAACCTTTTTATTTTAATCTACAATAAAAAAAAAAGTATCAATAGTAATGAGTGGTACGTTCACTGTCGGCAATTTTGAAATGTTAAATAAGTCAGTCCTAAAAACGAAAATAAAATAGTTTTAATGAAGAATGATTATCAAACTAAGGGCCAATCTTTTCACCTCTGAGTAAAGTTACATGTAAGTATACTTGACAGATTAAGAAACAATAGCCCTATAGTTTAATCAAAGGACTTTTAACTTTACTCGGAAGTGAAAAGACCGGTCCTTAGTATTAAAAAAGTATTTTCTACATGAAAAGACATTTTTAATTTTCAAATACTATCAGCTCTTAATTGCTGTATATTATTTTGGAGCATCTTGTATATACAAATCTATAAGTTCAAAACATAATTGAATCGGTGAGTGAAAGAACAAAAACGGTAATTTTAACTGAGATAGGCAAATTGTTTAAAATTTATAGGCCTATCACATAGCGAAAGATTAATACACCGATTAACATAGTACGAGCGATAGGGGCTTGTTCAATTTTCGGCTGAGTGAAAAAACACTACACGTGCGGCGCATGCACTGTTTTTTCACTCAGTAGCCATGTCGTTTTGTAGACAAATTTGACAGATTTCAAAAACTGGTGGCCACAATTTCATAAAAAAAACTAAATCAGCTGATGAACAAAAACCTAATTTTGTCATTCCGCAGTACAGCCAGTTTCCGTACACTGGTAAAACTCCTGGATATGTTACTACAAGTGCCTTCATAGGCGGTTTTCTCTCGCACACTTTTATGTATGGCGCGCGCAGTTACCTTTATGGCGGGCATACACGCTACGGTCTGTCTGTGCAGGTGTGCCTGAACAGGAAGCCATACACGCTACGACATGAAGCCAATCTACGCAGGCACACCTACACAGGTAGACCTCTCCAGTAGACCGTTACGTGTATGCTCGCCATTAGAAAAGGCATAAGTCAGCCGTTTCCTTGAATTTAAGGATCATTAAAGTTCTTAGTAGGAGGTAATATGTATTTAGGCTAAAGGTAAATGCCTTGGTTCAAGTTTCTTAAATTTTTGGTTATTATCTTTGTTCTAAGGATTTAAAACTTGACTAAAGAACCATTAACTTGGGAATGAATACATAAAATTTCTTAACTTAAGTACACGTCCTTCCCATTAAGTAATAAATAATCTCGTGTCAAGCACGAAATCTTTGGATGGTGATACTTATATTCGTGTATTACTTTAGTTTAAGATTTTTATGATTTTCTTTCAATCACATGAAACTTTACCCAAGAAAATATGTTCTTGTTTCAAGAGATTATTTTCTTGGCCCAAGACAATATTTTCTTCGATCAAAAAATATTTTCTAGGTTCAGCAATATTTTTTTTTTGATCAAGAGAATTATTTTCTTTGATCCAGAGAATATTTTCTTCGATTAAGAGAATATTTTCTTTGATTAAGAGAATATTTTCTTCAATTAAGAGAATATTTTGTTTATTAAAGAGAACATTTCCTTCAATCAAGAAAATATTTTCTTTGGGCAAGAGAATATTTACTTGGAACAGAACAATAGTTTCTTCGTTCAAGAGTATACAGAGTGTCTAATTAAGTCGGCACCATATGGGAAACTTTTTTATTATCAGTTAAAAAAAAAGATATTTTCATAAAAGTTCTGCGCGGTATAAAACCAAAAATGCAGTCATTAGGCATTACATTTTTTCAGTCATGTACGAGGTTTGTCGAAATATATGAATTTTATGTGGGAGTAAATTACCTTTATTTTTTACATTCAAAATTTTTGTTAAGAATACTTGATCAGAATTAAAAACTACTGTAAGATATTTAATATTATCTCAACCATTAAAAATCAGTTCTACGATTTGCAAAATTAAATGTATATTTCGTATTTTTGTCAAAAAGCATTAGAGATAAAGTTTTTTAGTAGACAAATAATATTAAATGTATGACCGTAGTTTTCAATAATTCTGGTAAACTTTCTTTTATAACAATTTTCAAAATTGTTAAAAATAAGGATATTTACTCTTGCATAAAATTCATATTTTCAGATGAACTTCGTACCTACGTAACTGAAAAAAAAATATATTTAATAGTTGAATTTTGGGTTTAGACCAAGCAGAACTTTTTATGGCGAATACTTTTTTGCATAAAACTAATAATAAAAAAATTCTGATATGGTGCCGACTTAAGTAGACATATTGTATATTTCTTTAAATCAAAGCCTGAATGGTGCACAATGTCTTAAGATATTTGCAAATCCTTTACTTTCATTTTTATATATAAAAAAATAATACAAAATCTGTATCTTTTTCTGCAGAAAGCAAATCTATTCATAAAAACAATTGAGCTCTCACTTTACTCCTTAGAACTTTCTTCTGCATATAAAACAATTACAAAAAGATACTTTTTCAAACTCTTAAAATAAAAAATCTTAAGGGAATATTAAATATAACGGAATTTGGAATTTATGAGAAATAAAACAAATGAGCAGAAATTAAACTTTGATACATTTATTCTGTTAAAAATTTATAAAAAGAAGGCAGTGAGCTAAACCCAACTAAAAAAAAATAAATAAAATAAAAACTCTTTTTAATAAAACACAGTTTATTCGTGGCTAATGTTAAATTATTATTTAAATATTAATTTAGGTGCAACACAATGAAAAGACATTGCTGTAGCGCTTACAATATTTTTAACACTTTAAACTAAAATAAATTTTCTTATATTTACAGTTTTTAACGTAAAAATAAGATGATCAAAAAAAGGCTACGTAGTTACAATTTAACAATGACCACGATTATTATTTATTATTATAGGCTAATCTTAAGTTATTACTAATCTAAAAGGAACAAGCAAAATCAGTTATTTTAATTTTGCCACATTACTAAATTTAAAAAGTAATAGACAGATAGCGATGAAACTTTATCTGAAAAGTTGGACAAAATAATTTTAAAATATTTCACCGTGACCTATGAACTACTTTATAACAGAAATAAAACAGGTTCCGTTACCACTAAAATGAAAGTTATGAACTTGCTTAGAATAAGTCATATTATCAAATGATGTGACAAATAAGTCTTCAGCATTTGTTACACCGCCTTGAAATATTATTTCAAAAGCTTGCACATGTTCACAAAAGCCTTAAGTGGTTGCAACATAAAATATATAGTCTTTTCATTTGTGAAAATGTTCTTAATTTGACCAAATTTACTCTCGCAAAGTTGTAACGCAAAGTCTTTTTTGTACAAAATATTGTTAATGGTTATCTAAGACACGCTAAAAAATGTTTTTGACAACTTAAATTTTGTTACTATTTTTTCAGGTATTACATATCGCGGACCAAAGTCTACCTTGGTTTGAAATCCTCTTTTATCTGAAAGTCTACCCGATAATTTTAGCAGTTGTTTAAGGGATAGTGTTACTAACAAATTTTTTCGACAAGTAACTGAGTTAGCGGTTTGTTTCAGTTGTCTGTGAAAAGCTTCATACCTCATACACCAGTAAAATCTTGGTGGTCCTAAATTTCTAATAACAATGGGGTAGTGCAATAGTAAATGATATTTTGAATATAATTTTCTGCTACATTTAAAACAAGTAAAACTATTTGTAGTTGCGTCCATTATAATTTTAAAATATTATTCTTAGGATAAAAATACTTTTTCGGTAAATATAAGTGATAAAAGTAGTAAAAGCTATGTCTTAGATAACCTCGTTGGTAAATAACAATATATTTTACAGCAAATCATTAATATGGAGGATTACAGGATCACATTCTGTAAAATATTTGTAAAGTTGCCACTGCAATAGATACCATAAATGTGAACATTGGACAGGATATTTAGCGTCTAAAATTTGGTACATTTTAAAACAAAAATCGAGAGCGTCGATTACGGACATACATTTGTATTCATAATTGTTAACAATGACAAAGCTACCTGTAATATTACTTTATGTCGGTCCTATTAGTATTATATATGGTTGAACGGTTAATCCTTTTTAAAACATATAGTCAATTTGATCCTTTTTTGCTTTTTCTAAATCTCCCGGAATTTTGACATGTACTAAAAAAGCATCTCGTGCCTCACTTATCGACGGTTTCCAATTGGTTTTACCCGCTTAAACCTGAGTCTTGGGAGGAACTAATGCTGGTAATATATACAATTTTATTGCTGTAGCTGAATCTACAAAAGAAAAACGTTGTGTTTAGAATAGAGCAAATACAATGGAAATGAATAGAGGGGAAGGGACTTACAAATAATATATTTACCATTTGTTAAATCCTTATCCAATAATTCTAATAGCGTAGTGTCTGTCGCCGTTAACGAATTTTTCCTTAAAGCCAACACAGCATCGAAAAAATTGTGAAAATTGTCCAATTGAAAATCCTCTGGTTGACTATGTTTAATTTGAAAGTCCACATTTACCTTAAAAAAAGGCAGTTATTGCAAAGAAATAAAATGTTCAAGATTAATATCGCATACCAGTTCTGGAGCTAAAGGACTCTTTAAAATAGGCCATTTTTCTATGAAACTTTCGATGGTTTCCGCCGGTTCCAATTTACGTATTTTGTAGGAGTTTTTCCAATGGAACAGTACATCAGATGAAGTCTTTCTTAAAAAGACATAATTTATATCCTTGATTTTAAGCAATTAATCTAATATTGAAGTTTTACTTCCATAGAATAATCTTTCTATAAGATTCTAAAATCTTTCTTTAAAAGACATAATATCCTTGATTTTAGACAATTATCTTGAATTGAGGCTTTACTGCTAATAAAATAATCTTTCTACAAGATTTCCAAGTTTTTAATAAAAATATATATGTCCTTGATTTTAGGCAATTATCTTGAATTGAGGCTCTAATAGGACGCTTAATTTCTATAAAAATGGCGTCTTTTAATGAATAACTAAAAGCTATATAGATACAGAACATTCTTAAGTAAATCTTCAATATGAACTTACTAATTACAAGACAAGAAATTATACAAAACATTTAGTAAATCTTCGTTGCATATTTACTAATTACACGACAGAATATTTTTAATGCAATAATTCTTTTGAACTAAGCACAATTAATACTTAAACAGATTTTAATATCATATGTATGTATATGTAAGTACGTACCTTCAAAGGCGACAAGCAGATGCCCTATTTTCCATTTGTTTAAAAATTCTGATAGTTCACTCATACTGCAAACTTTTTTTAACAATAACACGCAACACTTCCGTTTACTTCGATATTAGAATAACGACTAACAATAGAATGATGAAACACATCACACCACACTTAACCGGTAACTTGACCGCGTGGAGGGAGGGGACGTGTTCTTCTAACAAGAGAATTATTGCAATTTTGACTAATTGCACATATCAGAGTCTCAGTTTAAGATCACCGAAGTTGAATGTTACATTTTTAAGATCACCAGCCTGTAACTAAGGATTTTATTTGGCAAGAATATCATGGATAAACGGCAAGACGACAAAAACTCTTTTACTAAGAATACATAATCGTCATTCAAGATTATTTCCTTTAGAGAAGATAATCAAGAGCCAAGATAATTTAAAATCTAATATTAAGAGTTGCCTTTTATCTGTGTATTAACGTAAAGAAGATAGCCAATATAAAGATATTTTTATTCTACTTTAGTGATGAAATCATAGAGTTTTACTATCCTATATTATTTCTTGGAAAGTCAAAAATGAAGATTCTGATTAAACAATTACAAATAAGTTTGTTAAATAATAATCTATAAAGCTACAAAAAAAAATTTAAAGCACTTTTTAAATTGAGTGAAAGAACAGTATAACCAAGTAATTTTTTTCAAATATAATTTTTTGCATAATTTTATTTTTAAATTTATGTACATATTATTATCGATTAACAAAAATTCTATAACTTCACAATACATATTTAGGCCGAATAACCCATAGTTCTCCTTTAAAACAGTTATTTTTGTTTTTCTCAAAATGGTCATTTTGGATATGTATTGTTCTTTCACTCACCGATATCTCCAAAAGTGTTAAACTATTTTTTAAAATTAAAAAAATTAAACAATAATTCTTTGAGGTACACCACTTGATATTGTTAGGGGTATACCCAACACTGTCCACTATAATCAGTTAATCTAATCATTTCATGAGTGCATTTTGAAAGCGTATCTCGGTCCGAAGTAGCGTAGGTAGGTAATCAGTATTATTTCAAAAATATATATGTTATTTTCCTTATAGTTCAGTAACTGAAGTGTCAAACCTGTAGAAAATTCGCTGATGAGTTCCCACATAGCGCAATTTGTAGGTCATTGCAGGTTTTTTTAAACGAAAAAATCCTTAACGCGTTCTTGGTACCGGAAGGGGATGAAAATGGACCCTTAAACCTGGAAAATGGGTTTTCTGCTAATATCTGACTAAATATGCCAATTAGAGAATTTTTGTTCAGACAAAAAATGAAGATTAGCTCATTATCTACAAAAATGGCCTTTATCATTTTTCTTCGAAAATTCAATAGTTTTCGAGATAATGGCACTCAAAAGTCCCCTCATTTCAGCTGCTGCTCTACCTGCAGGAATTCCGCTGTCTATGAATTAACGTGTAAGCGGGCAGACGAATTGTTCCATAACTCGGGAAAAAAATCGATATTTTTTAATGATTCAAAGTTCATCGCAATGGGAAAACCCATAGCTACCATTCGATGTGACTTGAAGTCAGTTCGTATTTGCCAAAAATAGAGACTGCTTCATTAATTTATTCATATTTTCTTTAAAAATGGTAATTTATTTTAATTTTGCCTTTATAATGGGATCTTGGGGGGTCTTGAATGATCTCAGAAATTTTTTTGTACTACTTTTCTTGCGTTTTAATACAATTGATTTGTTTATTTACATATTTTAGCAGATTTCGGAGTTTCATAGAATCTTCGGAACAAGCGCGAATTATAATCTTATGATCCGTTATATTGATTTCCAATGAACATCATTTTAAAGCTTAGATGGTCTACTTTTCGAATATATTTTTTTATTTTTAATAGAGTCTAATAATTTTCAAGAAATGAGGAAAATTGATCACACGAGTGAAAACCGATTCTGTTTTTGTTTAACCATTTCTTGTTCCCCGCTCTTTATTTTTTGAGGATTAATAACTAGATCAAAGTAAAGCTTGTATTCTGACCTTTTCATTGATATAAGTCAATCCCCATATCCGTTCTTGGTTCTAAAAAGGTTGTTACAATTATATACTTCATTTTTACGCTGCCCCTCTGAGATTCGCTTTATGAATTTATACTGTATGTCAGCACGCTAACGTGTTAAAATGCAGGAGGAATTAAATGCATATTTTTCCAAAATTCTTTAAAAAATACTACCTCGTGCTAGCGCAAAAATCACGTAGGGATTTATAAACCAATACGCGCGTGTGAACCCTATTGAATCGCTAACTGCAGAAAGGGGACATATCCATATTTTTCCCAAATTGACATTTTTCTATTTTTGTGATCTAGAAGTTAAAACACATCTTTACTGTAAAAATGGGATATGTACTTTTATTGGTATCGGCGCGGTGAAGCGAATAAATTTTCATTTACTGCAGAAACGGAACTTATCCGATAGATGTCCCCTTTCTGCGGTAAATAACTCAGATTCGCAAACTCACAGTAGGTGTAGATTATAACCTATCTTTTTCCTTGTAAACTTAGTTGTTTATATTTTATATTATTGCTATTGAGACGCGGAAAAATGAGTTCAAATTCTGAAAGTGAAGTGGAAATACCAAAAAAGAGAAAAAAAGGCTCTATACACAGTGAATGTTATAAGAGAAATATAATTAAAAAGGCAAAACTATGTGGTTTACAACACACTAATTATGCTGGCAAAAATATCCCGGCCAAAGACATTGCTGGTGATAACTGGTAAGTTTTACCGTTTTGCAATATTAAATTGTATAATAGTAAATTATTTCTTTGTAGTTGCTCTCGGAAAAAATGTTTAAGCCTTTTTCGTGAGATCGAAAAATGTAACATGCTTCAATTATTTAACGAAATGGATTCAAAAGATCAACAAGACTTGTACTTGCAAAGACTCCTGGAAATACATAATGTTTCTCGAAAAAGGGGAAAAATAAATGCTGTCAGAAACAAACCAAAGTGTTTAACCGTTAAATACTTTGTACTTAATGAAAAAGAAAGAATTGAAGTATGCAAAAATGCTTTCTTATCAATTTACGGGGTATCGAAGAAGCGTTGCGAACGGCTTGTTTTCCTATTAAAAAATAATAAAAGTCCACGAGATATGCGTGGCAAAAACGTTAGTGGAAATGCAATAGCAGGGCACATCATTGCAAACATTCGTAGTCATATTGAATCTTATCCTGTGAAAATCTCACATTATACAAGTAAAGAAGTTCGATACTTGGACAGTAAGTTGTCAGTAAAATTAATGTATGAAATGTTCAGTCAGAAGCACCCAGATAATAAAATTTCATATAAATTTTTTTGGACCTATTTTAAAGAAAATTATGATTTGAAATTTGGCAGACGAGCAAAAGATACATGTCCTACTTGCGAGGAGCTCAATGCAAAAATTAAAAGTGAAACTTTAAACGAGGGTGCCAAAAGAGTAGCAGTTGCTGAACTTCTTATTCATAAACGTCGCAGCAAAAAATTTTATACAGCCTTAAATTCAACAAAAACATTAAGTGAAGAAAATGATGATATTCTATCCATTAGCATTGATTATATGGCTAATGTTTCATTGCCGCAAATTCCTGTGCAGGATCTTTACTATTTCCGTCAACTTACAGTATGTACTTTCGGAATCCACAATTTAAAAACAAAAAAATATGACTTGCTATGTATACCATGAAGGAGTGGCAGGCAAAGGAGCAAATGATGTATGTTCCTTTTTAAAGCATTACTTTGACCAAGATAAAGAGCATAAATTTAAAAAACTCCACATTTTCTGTGACAACTGTTGCGGACAAAATAAGAATAACACAATGGTTCGATTTTTAATGAGTTTAGTGGAACTTAAAGGATTTGAGGAGATACAAATTTACTTTCCTCTGAGAGGTCATTCGTTTATGCCATGCGACCATGACTTCGGTTTAATCAAAAGGCAACTTAACAAACATGAAAGATATTATACAGTCCAGGAATATATCGAAATAATCACGAAGGCTTCAAAGGATCCACAAAAATTCTCAATTGTAGAGGTTTCAAGAGATTTAGTGTTTGATTATAAAAACTGGTGGTCAGATTTTTACAGAAGAACCTGTTTGAGTAACGAATCATATGGAAAAAATGTACCTCGGAGCAAAAAAAAATCGTTCACTATCTCCTCATTTTATCACATGACCATTTCTTCTGCTGAAGAAGTAGTTTGCCGAGAATTTATAAATTGTTTTGTATCGGATACATTCCGACTGAGGAATACTAAACGTACAATAACCTACCCTACAACAAAAGTTTATACCGAAAAGTTTCCCATTAATGAGAAAAAGATGGCTGACATAAAGAACACTATTAAATTTATTCCGGACACTTATTTGGCATTTTGGGAAGAAATTACTGCATGGCCCACTGGAGAAAATGATCGAGAAGATCAATAAATACATTTGAATAGGAATTTTGTAAACAAAAGAAACCCAAAATAATTTTTTTTCCAATAAATAACTTGTTAGATTTCATTTACTGCAGAAAGGTGACATGTCCACAAGTCAAATTTGGCACCTGCGCCAAAACACAATATCAAAAAATTCTTCAGTCTATTCTAACTTATACTAAGGATCCTAAAGATTATATCCACAAAATTTGAATTACAAATATTTTTTTTTAAAGAAATTAGAAGGTTTTTTAACTTCCTGAATAATTATTAAAATGTGACATGTCCCCTTTCTGCAATTAGCGATTCATGTAAATTTTAATAATATTTGCCTCTTTCTGTTTGATGGCTAAACCTACGTTTTACTAGCTGTTTTTTTTACTATCCAATGAACAGAAAATCTCAAAAAAACACACCTGGTAATAGTACATAATTCTGCATCCAAGTATTAAAGTACTCTCAATAAGCGTAAAAAATTATAAATTAGAATTGCGTATTGGCCCCTACCCCCCCCCCCCCCAATACTTAACCTTAAAGCACTTTTTTTAATGGCACTGCACTTGTTGCTCAATATATAATTTTGTAATAATCGTCATACTTAAATATTTATATTTATATATTTATATTTAAAATATTTATTTTAAAAAAAACTATCCGCATATTATTTACTTTAATTATCGCAAAAGTACGATTATTTTTAAAAAAAAATTATGACTCGAGTACTTAGGTAGGTAAATAATTATTTTTTACAATAACTATAACGAGCATTTTTTTCCATAAGAAAGCCATTTTAATAAACTAATGAACGAATTTCTTTAGCACATCTGAGAAAAAATGAGAAAATTGTGATATTTAATATTTAAAAAGACAGTAAAAATATGGATGACAAAAATTTTGGGGAGAAAGAAGTAATGCCCAAGACTTGAAATTTGTACCAAAAGTAACAAAGTATAGCGATAATAAACTGGAACTTGAAAATTATATTAAGTGATCTGATATGCCGTTTTTATGGTTTTTAGTTTTGACATGTAAGTTAAAAAAAATAATAAATTTAACTAATAAGACACGATAGATTAATTTAGAAGAAATATTTTAAAGTTATCCTTGTTGGGGAAATAATTGCAGATAAAAAACTGGGTTATGATGGACAAATAATGTAATTTTTAACAGACATGTTATCTGTGAACAGCTTGTTATTTCTGTCTGTTTATACCACTGATCTGTATTATTTTACTGGATAGGATATAGGCTATATTTAACATACTAAAAATCCGTTCCACCAAGGAGACCGGAAGTACAACACTGCTGGCCGATTTGGGCAAATTATGGTGGGATCACAGAACTGAATTTTGGGATAATTTGACATACCTAACCTATAATTTGATTAGTTTTTCTTCTTATTATTCTTCTGCGGGCAATGTCCTTCGGGACAATTCACCCACAATTTGATTTTTTTATGAAAGAAAATATAAAAATGGAAACGTGAAGCATATTGTGTCTTCACGAATGAACGTTTATTGTTTATATCATAATAATGCTATCCGATACTACCTAAATAAATAAATAAATAAAGCGTCTCATCGTAATTTGTTGACACAATTAAATGTCAAATGTGATGACAAATCCGCCATATTATTTGCCCAAATCGGCCAATTTTTCAAAACGTTTTTTAGGGGGCTATATCCTATCCAGTAAAATAATACAGATCAGTGGTTTATACAATAACAGATCTGTTAAAAATAACACATGTTGTCAATCATAACCCCCAACTTAGGTTTTAGCACATACTTTGATTACTGTACGGGGCAAGAGAGAGGTCCGACACTCCCAACATAGGGCGCGGCCATTTTGAACCCTATGACACAGTTTATAGCTAAAGAATCAGATCGCTCACTCTGCGTCGGCACTTTTGATGTCAATGTTCCAGTTTATACACTGCGCAACTCGGATAATACAATATATGACAACCGCCTATAATAAAACAGCAGTTTTCTGCGTATCCTGGATTTGTATCCCTGGAGTGGATGTTATTTTGGAACTTTCACCTGGTCCGAGTGAGCTAACTGATTCTTTAGCAATAAACTGTGACTCCAAAAATAATATTCACTGACACCTGACACTGACAGCAGCAAGCAAAATATCAGGTGCGTTTTAATCATCCGCTTCTGCTTCCAGAATTGTCGGTTTAGTCGTTTTAACCTGTCAGATTAAAACAAGAAAACCGACAATTCTGAAGCAGAAGCGGATGATTAAACGCACCTATTAAAAATATTGCGCCAAGATGTAGGCAACACGTAATAAGGGTTCAAAATGGCGAAGATTTCTATCTCCTTTTAAAAGGCACTTAGAAAGCTGCGCAGTGCGACCATTCTCCGTATAGTAAAATAAAATCAAAGTATGTGGGTTTTAGACATTAAAAGTTCTAGTGACAAACTGTCAACCGTCATCGTTATGACCAACAGGGTCACCAACCTTGGTATTTTAAATATTCCCAACAGCCCCCTTATTTGAAAATACAAATCCTTGTTGAATAGAACAAAATCTAATTTTCATCCGGTCTACGGACTTGGGTCAAGGAATAAGCTAATTGATTGTTGCTGGATATGTACTTCAGTTTTAACAAATTTTGTGCAATTTTATCCCTTAAAAAATGATGTAGGACGTCAATATGTTTGGTTCAGGCTTGATAAGCTCCATTGCAGGCTAAGGTTTTGACACCTTGATTATCAACAAATAAACACATGGGTTGATTGTAGGATTATATTTCTTCACTAAACCTTTTTAACCATAGAGCTTCTTGCGCTGCTGATGACATCGCCATATATTCGGATTCTGTTGTTGATAATGGTACAGTTACTTGTCTTTTGGTGACACATGAAATGGTAGCCCCATTCTTCAGAAAAATATAGCATGTGACAGAACGACTATTATTAACATTATTGGCCCAATCTGCATCCGAATACCCCACTATATTGGACTGACCATCCACATTTTCTTTAAATTCTAATTTAGATGTATAAGTTCCCTTCAGATATCTTAATATACGTTTTACTGCACTCCAATGTAAAGGACCTAGATTTTTACTAAAGTGACTAATATTCTCTACTGCAAATGAAATGTCTAGTTTGGAGATTTGAAAAGCAAATAAGAGACTACTGCTTACTGCCTACTGCTTCTTGATATGGCACATTCGACATAGAATTCATTTTATCAGCCTTTTGGGGTGACATGGATTTGGACAAATTCTCACCTGGTGCAGCAGGAGTATCCACTGGTTTGCAGTCCCACATGTTAAAGCGCTTAAGAACATCTTGGATGTATAACTATTGGTCAAGTCATATTTTCTTATTCTTTTTGTCACGGGTTATTTGCATACCAGTATAAATCTGGATTCACCAAAATCTTTCATTTTGAACTTTTACATTATTATTTTTTGCCGGTATCATTTGAAAAATTTATTAGGTCATCTACATAAACGGCTATTATGAGTGTAAGTGAGGGAGTTACCTTATAATAGATGTATGGGTCAGCATTTGATTGAACAAGACCTTAATTTTTTAAAAATTTATCCAATAATAAATTCCATACACAACTCACCTGCTTCAGTCCATATAAAGATTTCCGTAGCTTGCATATCTTATTCGATTGACTAAAACCTTCTGGTTGCACCAAGTATATACCTTCATTAAGTTCATCTTGTAAAAAGGCAGTTATAGCATCAAGCTAGTCAATATCAAGATAATGTTCGGCAGCTAGAGCTAGCAAATATTTAATGAATCTTTTATCACTAATCTTGCCTTGTGTTTGATTATATTACCACTTGAATATTTTTTAGTTTTTAATACTCACAATTTAAGGGCATTTTTTATAAAGTTGAGTCTACTAGATCCCAAGTTTGATTTTTCATCAGTGCTGCATATTCATCTTCCATAGTAGTACGCCAATTTTACAATCTGAACGGCTCCTTTTTCTAATTCAAAGAATACATCTCTTAACATACAAATTAAATCAGTGACTGGATTATATAATCTGTAGGCTTTGATTTCTTTACTATAACCCATCACTATACAACCTATGGACTTGCTATCCAGTTTTTTCGCTTTTCTTCTGGTACCTTGCTTCCATAAATGTTATGTTTGCTTAAATTCGGTTTTATTCTGCTCCAAGCCTCTTCTGGGATAACTTTCTTTCAACAATACTGGTTAGTGAGATATTTATCAAATCTGCAGCTGTAGGTGCAGCTTCAGCCCAAAATATGTTGAGTAAGCTTGAATTTATAAGCATACATCTAGTTTTCTCAACAACAGTTCGGTTTAAAAGTTCTGCTTTCCCGTTTTGTTCAGCAGTGTAGGGAACGCTCACTTAATGTATTATTATACCACAATCTTGGAGAAATGTTTTAAATTTAAGACCACAAAACTCACCACCATTGTCTGTACGGAATTGTTTTATTTTCTTACCGGTTTGGTTTTCAACCAAACTTTTAAAAATCTTAAAATGTTCAAAAACTTTATCCTTGCATTGTAAAAAATAAATGAACGCCTTATGACTATAATCATCTAAAAATTACAACATATATTTAGAGCCAGCTAGAGTTTTCACCTCAAATGGTCCATATAAGTCAGCGTTAACTAATTCTAGAATTTCAGATACTCTTGATTCACTACGCGGGAATGGTAATCTATGACTTTTAAAGTACCCTTTTGCATGAGCAGAATCAGTAGTTACTCCTGCTTTGAAAGTAACATAATTTGTACCACTAAAATTTGAAATTTCAGATTTTGTACCCCGGCCGTTCCTATAGAAATTAACCTAAATTCATATTAGGCTCAAGAGTAAAATACCCTTTGGCACGAGTAGAATCAAAAGGTACTCCTGCAATGAAAGTAACATAATTTGTACCACTAAAATATGAAATTTCAGATTTTGTATCCCTGCCGTTCCTATAGAAATTAACCTAAATTCATATTAGGCTCAAGAGTAAAGTACCCTTTTGCACGAGCAGAATCAATAGTTACTCCTGCAATGAAAGTAACATAATTTGTTCCACTAAAATATGAAATTTCATATTTTGTACCTCTGCCGTTCCTATAGAAATTAACCTAAATTCATATTAGGCTTAGGAGTAAAGTACCCTTTTGCAGGAGCAGAATCAATAGTTACTCCTGCAATGAAAGTACCATAATTTGTACCACTAAAATATGAAATTTCAGATTTTGTACCCCTGCCGTTGATAGACATTAACCTAAACTTATATTAGGCTCAAGGGTAAAGTAACCTTTCTATAGGAACGGCAGGGGTACAAAATTTGAAATTTCATATTTTAGTGGTACAAATTATGTTACTTTCATTGCAAAAGTAACTATTGATTCTGCTTGTGCAAAAGGCTACTTTACTTTTGAGCCTAATATGAATTTAGGTTAGTTTCTATAGGAACGACAATGGTACAAAATCTGAAATTTCATATTTTAGTGGTACAAATTATGTTACTTTCATTTCAAGAGTATTGATTCTGCTCGTGCAAAAGGGTACTTTACTATTGAGCCT